CAGACTTGGCCCACTGGGTCTCTGTACCAGTACCAGTGCTGGTAACCTAATGTGGGACCAGGCACCTAGATTCACTGGAAATGCATCATTCCAATTGCAAAACTAAAGATAGTTGTAGTGGAATGCATGAAATCATTACAAATGCTTTATCAGAGGAGGGGTCTGAAGCAGAGAACTTTTCTGTAATGCTCCTCCTGGGTAAGTCATGGGAAACTCGCAGCAGAGAAAGACACCTCTCCCAAGTCCTTAATGGACCAAGATTTCTTCCTCTCTTACCACATTCCTTCCTATAAAAATTTTTCAGCTCAGTAATTCTGGACAGCCGTCTCCAGCAGTTCATTTGTGATGCTTCCTATTGTTACAGTGTGTGACACAGTAGCGTCGCTGTCATTGCTGCAGCTTCTGTCAACACCAGCTAAGGTGGGCTGCTGTTTTTTTCCAGAGTGTCTTTCAGCGCCACTCAGCGGTTGTTCTCGCCTGCGGTGAGGCTACTAACTGCAAACTGTGTGCATATGTATTTGCTGCTTCTTTTGTGATAAGAAACTTCAGCAAGTAAGTTTACCGTTCAGGAATCACACGCACCATTCTTAATACAAAGAACACAAAGATGGAATGATACATCTTAAAAGCTACAGAGAATGTGTTGTTACAAAAGCTCCTCAAAGAAAGCGAAAGGAGGAAGAAATAATGAAAACCTCTTTAAAATAATCGAGAAAAGATCTCAGAGAGCATTCCCTGAACTTACAGTAACCATAGCAAACCAAACAAAAGACAGTAGTAATAAGTCTTATGTATCCTTGGTGATCTGCTTAAGCAACTTCTTGCTTTTACAGTAAGCCAAAAAAAGGGAGAACGGATGAGTTCAAAGTATGATCCACTGAATGATGAGAAGCCTCCTCAAACAGAAGAAAATGGACTGGAGTGTTAATGCAAAGCAGGATCAGGGGAGGCCTCTGGGATTTTCAGCAAAGGGCAATGGGCTTCACTACAGCAAAGACAGCTGAGCGGATTTAGTCTGGGTCAGCCTGAGGAGACTACTGAGACGTTCTGAAGCTGCTGAGGGGGCCAGCTTGGCAGGGAAAATCTTGTTTTCTCCTTGTAAAGAACCTGAAAGCATTGGCTAGATGTGTTTGTGGACAACAGAAGAAAGAATGAAGTGTGTGGGAGAGGCTGAAATCACAGCCTTTATGGAGAAGTTAGGATTTCACAGGAAGTAGGGCCATCCTCTGAAAGGGGATAATTTCCTGCTGCATGGTTCAAGTGGCAAAGACTCCCACCAGGTCAGAGCCTGTGAACTAGAGATTCAGAGAGACAGCCCCTGGAATGAGAGTCAGGATTTAATCATCATCATGCACAGAGAGATCATACACTGAATGGGCAGAACTGACAAAGGTTACAATGATTGTGTCCATTTTACAGCTAGAAAACTAAGACCCAGAAACCAAGACTATTTATGCTACTATTTATGAATGTTTTGCTGTAGATGCTCCTACTGACTTCAAGGAGGAGGATTCTGCTCCCTGGCAGAGCAGCCTGGGCAGCTGGCTCTATTCACAGCATCTGCAGTGAGACGTGAATCTGGCCAACTTGTGTCTTAGATATTCATTCTCCTGCACGGTTGAGTGTTTCACTTAATCCAGTCGGAAACCACCCGTCCCCAGCAAGCTCCTGCTGACTCCTCCTGCTCTTGATGGATTGAGAAACAGTCCTACACCCAGAAAGTTTGCTGGTGTCAAACCACCTTGTTTTTCTCAGCTTAAATAAACCGTAAGAGGTCTTACTGCTTATTGATTGACCTCTTACACTAGGTCATGTAACTCACAGTGATTATATTTTTGGAGCGAGTGACTGTTGAAGGTGATTTTGACAATACCATGGCTTTTCAAACCACTTCAACACAATCTCCACACTTAAAATAATAGACTGTAATGTTAACTCTGCCCTTGCCAACTGACATCACTTGAGCCACTTGAGGCTTAGGAAATGGTTCAAGACTTATCTTTCTTTTCCTCTTGCTTGTAGCCTGGTCTGCAGAATATGTTCAGAGAGGGTAGCCACATGCAGAAGCGACCTACCTATGTATTTGTCTGCCTGTTTTGGCATGCAGAGCCTTGCAAGTATCTTCAGTCCTGTGGTCCTTGACTGCTCAGTGCAGCACAGAACCAGCAGAGTCTCATCCATGACTTGTTCAGTGAAGCAAGTGTTCATTTAAATAGGTTCCATGTACGCTGAGGCTCGTTTGCTTTGGTTGATAATTGTTATACTCAGTAGAGATAGAGCTTTGTGTTTATAGTGCAGGTTGTTTTGTTTGTGTTATTCAGTCTTTTCCTTGAAATATGACCGCTCCTTATACACAAATATTTTCAGAGGCATTCAGTGAGGAAATGACCTTGTTAGAACATGGAGCATCTGAAATTTACTTTAGGAGACAGTGTCTAATTTCTGGACTTTCGGAGGAAACACATGAGTCTTTTTGACTCTTGACTCTTTTGGTGGTATTGCCAGGTCCCAGGGCTGTTGTCAATGGTTTCCTCCAGGAAATCCAGGGATTTCATCCAGGGAACTCCAGCTGCTTAGATGAGATAACTGTGCCTAAGCAAGAGGGAAGGCTAACACATTATTAATAGATGAGATAACTTTGTAAATTAAACAAATCAACCATACCTCCATTTATCTCTAGATACATGGGTAATTCAACTTTAATGCTGCTATCAAAAGCTTTTAATCATAATCTTGTTTTAGGTCTTGTTTGTGTATAGTTTAAGTGCACAGGAGCAAATAAGATCATTTTCAACCTCTGTCATTTCTTGGAGATGACTCTGTTCGCTGTGCAGGCTAGCATACTCTCCTTAAAGACATTCTTTAGTGTACTGCGGTGGCTGGCTACACAGCCTTGCAAACTGCAGTTTAAGAGCCACTGGCATAGGCATAAAGTGGAATGTTGTCTGAAAGGCGGATTTGTTGCCTGATGTGCAGTAAGCCAGTCTCACACACACAGTTGAAATACTGATTTATTGCAAAGTTGCACATACTTGGATACTAGGTGGTATCCCACAAAGCTAGCACACCCCAGATTTTCAGGGCATTTTTTAATAGATAATCTTATCACTTGACCACCATCCCGATACAGCCTCTGGCCTCCAATTTGTCACTTACAGACAGAGCTGATACCCCCTTCTGCAGGCTATGCTCATTATGCTAATTAACAACATGTTGTTTCAAGATGCTCCTGTCTTCAAAAACAAGTTTAGTGAGTTTCTCTACTTGATCAATTTAGCAGCTTCAAATATGGTCATCCTGACCTAGATAAAAAAAAGTATTTGCTATAAGTAAGCATCCCCATTCAAAGACCTGCACAAAAATTATTTTTAACTTGACTGACAGTAGGGACACAGCATTGTTTGAAGGCAGATTTATTTTAGAGCTGTTCATAATGTTAACAATCCTATCAGGAGTATTGTGGGTTTTAGTGTTTCCTTAAGTCTTGAATTTCAGATGATTTATAATGGTAATCATGGAACAATCTGAATTCCCATTTTCACTAAGAAAAAAAACCAACAAAAACAAAGCAGAAAAATAAATGTCTGGTCCCCCATAGTTGCAAAGAGAACTCTGAAACAGTGACCCTGTGGAATTCCAAAACAATAATAAATGAGGAGAGAGTTGAACAAGATGGTGTTTTAGAGTCCCTTCCGACTTTTTGAATCTATAACTCCATTATAAAGCACAGATAATGATTTTGGGTTACAACTGGTGATTTTTAAGAACAAGATTCATCTGGCAGAAGTTAATACAAATGCTTCTGGTGAGTATTTTAGCCTTTGAAGTAGCTGATATTTGTTACAAGGACGTACTGGTCCAAAAATGCTTTTTCCCCATGTATGACCTAACATAACAAAACAATAACCAACAAAAAAAGAAATCTCTTCTGTTGACTGTGTTGCAGATTAATCTAACCCCCAGTATCCCACCCTACTGAATTTAGTTTAAATGCTACCCACTTGTTTTTCTTTACAACAAACTGGGGCCATACTGCATTTTTAGCTTGTTATTTATTTATGCTGGCAGTGAGGTCTAATGTTTCATCTCTCACCCTTCCTGGTAATTGTGATACAAGGATCTTTATGTGAAGTCTCATTCCTGTGGTTTTATCTATTCTTATGAAGAAAAGAAAAAGCTCATTCATCAGTGGAATGACTTCCTGGTAGCGTGAATGACAATATTTTTTACCTACCTGTATAGAGAGTTAGGAGAATTGATTAGCTAATGTTTGTGAAAGTCAGCTTTTAAGTGTTATAAAATGCATGAGCTGGAATTCCGTTGTTCATGACAGAATGGCTTTACCTGTGAGAAACTGCCATTTACACTGAAGCTAATGTACCAGGGTAACGTGTCTGCATGTGCTGAGTTATGTGTTTGAGTCCTGACCCAATTACATTTTACCTGATATGACTTGAAATAAGTGTGTATGCAATTTCACTTCTCTCTGCAAACACCAGTCCTTCTGCTAGTGGAATCAGGGTCTAAATCTATTTCAGAAGCATCTTTTGTTTTGATGTGATTTCTGGGAAGGTGAAGGACTGAAGGAAGAGAGAATACTTCTTGGGTGCCATCAGATGTCATACCTAAGTATATGGGTCCTGTGACTGCGGCTGACACAGGCTGCACCTTCTGATAAAACATAGACTGCCAGGTGCTTTGCATATCAGATTTTATGGTGGCAAATTTTGTAATAAAAGCTATTTTGGTTGCACTTGATTCTCCAGAAGCTCAGGATTCAGAGTGAGTTAAGCTGTATACAATCTTGCCCTCTGCTAATATTCAGTATTGCTACGCTAGTCTGCCTTTGAAGAGCAGTAGTGCACTAGTGCACAAGTCAGAAATCCTAGTCCAATTTTCTTTTCCTCTGCCTTGTCACTCACATGTGTGCAGACTTGGTGCACTGCTGCTGGCACACTGAAGGAGAATTGATGTACCATTTCTTTCTCTTTCCTTTGCAGGTTGAAGAGGGAGGCAAAGCAGACTCCCTGCCTTCTAAGCTGCAGGCTGGTGACGAGGTGGTGAACATCAATGAGGTGCAACTGAGCAGCTCCAGGAGAGAGGCCATTTCCCTTGTTAAAGGGTCCTACAAGAAACTCAAGCTAGTTGTTCGCAGGTAGGCAAGATACAACACTCCCTCCCCCTCTCCTGCCCATAGGGTGTCACTACCATCCCCTTCACATCTCCAACTGAAAATCAATGGCTTGGCCTGATCTTGGCAATAGCCTTCTTTTACGCACACAGGCATGAGCTCAAGGGAAAACGTTTGTTCTTTTCAGCAAACATTTCTATGACTCCTTTGTCACTGATACATCCAAGTATGTGAACTACTTATCCAAATCTTGCACTTCAAACCTGCCATGTGACAATCCAGGAACCTTGTTCAGTGATTTCCAGGCAGTCCCCATCACCATTGTCCTGTCAAGTGCCTGGGGCTTCTGTGAGAAGGTGGTAATTCTGTACATAACTCTTGTCTTGTTTTCTCTGTTTGGTCACTGTTGTTGTGACAGCAGAAATATTTCCACTGGCCTGAACAGAATTTGAAGCTATTTCATGTTCTGCAGATGAGTGATAAAGAGGCCATGCTGACAGAGAGTAATCTTATCTGCATTGTACTCAGGGTGGGACCTAGCAGGAAGATCAGCCACTTTACCTGTGTCTTTTGATCAACAGCCCCTGTACCATCACTGAATGAGTGATCTCGCTTCACCCGTTCAGTCCTGCCATTTCCCTGGCTGTCAGAAGCCTTATAAATGGTAATGAGTAGCAATGCTTGCATGGTGGGTCTGATGGTGTTCACTCAGCTGCACAAACTGTGCCAGTACCTGCACAAATAATGCCAATACCCCTTGGTGACAGGCAGAATATCTTGCTGTCAGGTCACAGAACCTGATGCCCATTTTGAATCATAATTGTTTGGATTTAATTTTTTTCTGGTGTTAATTAAGACCTTAACAGAGATGCTTCCTGTCTGTTTTTCACTGTGGGCATGTTCAACAGTTCTTTTCGTCTGTGCCAGTTAGGTGATAGCTGGTATCGTTTTATGGAGTGCTCTGCCCTGAATTTCCATGCTCAGACAGAGAGGAATCTGGGTCAAGATCAGCATCGCTGAGGAGCTGTCATTAGTCAAACAAAAGGTGTCAGTTTGAGTCACTAAGTTGGAGCAACTGGCTAACATCCCAAGGGGTGATGTCTGAATGGGACAGGCATGAACAGCTCAGACACCCTTCTGTTTTCTGGAGTAAAAGTATTCATATCTACTGGCTATATTGTGCTGTTTACATAAGTGTCTTCAGGTACTGAAAATGGCCTTATGAAAAATTCCATATACTGAAGTGGTACCTTGCTTCCGTAGCTGGTGGAAGGATAATTTTAAATGCAGTTGATCACTTCTGAAAACATTAAGAATCAGCCAGCAGTGTTTTATATTTCAAATTACACCTCATAGTGTAATAATAGTTTATCTCTCAATTATCTTTAAGTTCCTAAGACCTTTTCAACTTTTCTTTTTCTTTCTAATGTGTGTGCATCTGTATTTGTTGCTTTCCATGATTGGAATACTGTTGTGAACTTGAAGAAACTTTGATTCAGAGTCTTTCATGGTTTCAATTAACCACCAGTAGAAGTAAGATCAAGCACACTAACTATAAGAGGTGTTACATTCACATAATATCCTCTTACCAAGATGCTATAAGCCCTTACTGCACATTTAAAGCTCAGTAAATCTATAAGCTCAAAACTGGAAAAAATTACAATCAGATGCTAAGAGCCCTTCTTAGGTGTCAACTTCTGTTCAGACAGTTTGACGTAGTCCCAGCTGAGAAAGCAATGACAGAACAAAAAAATGAGGTGTTGAGTGCTTTGTGGGTAGTGGGTCAGAAGCTACAGCACCAAAGGTGTGCAGGATATCTTCACCCCAGACCTAATGAGTTTAGCTATTTAGTAAAGGAAGTGACAGTGTGCTTTCCATCTAGGGCTTTTTTTGTACGTGGAGAAGAAAATGTCTTGCAGTGCTACACTGTCTAAAAATAATTTGGGAGGTTATTGTAAATTATTTATAACCATTAATCTCAAGTGCAGGTTTCTTTGCTGCAATGCCAGCAGTCCTAAAACTCTCTAAACAGTCATTTGTGATTCCAGTATTAATAAGAACTTTCGGGGAGACACAAACTCATACTGGTGTGGACTTTACCCCTTCAAAGTCATATGCAAACAATAGCAAAGTCTGCTTGATGTCTGTCTTTTTGGTTCTTTCCAAAGCATATTCAAGGTCAGCATATTTTTGAAAATTATTTCAGAAATAATATTGAAGCATATTTTATATTTGAAGCATATTTTTAGAGTGTTTTTCGTATTAAAAAATTCGGGAGTTGTCTGTTGCAGTGAGATGATGACATGAGATGTCACATCATACAGAAAGCTTGGAATTTTTATTCAGAAGTTTTGTACTAAGAACACCAAATAGATGACATACAGAGCACATTTGACTCACTCCAGATATCTGTGTAGCCTGCACAGCAGGTTGTGACATAATCTCCGTTTTTATTTCAGAACAAAGTTGAGCTTTTAGTTCCTATTGCAGCTGAGTAAACATACACGTGTTACTAAGCAAAAATTGGTTATTACAGTTTGATGCAATGATGAGTAATTTTTCTTGGAATGTCAACTGCAACGTTCAGTACTGATGCCTCAGCGTCTGTAGTCATTCTATTATTGGTTACTTTAACGAAAGAGAAGAATGCAAATAGAATGACAGGAATGTGAAGGGAAAATCAGAGAAAATTCAGTATGAGAGGCAAGAGGAACACAAACAGAGATGAGAAAAATGACTCATCTCACAATGATACTTACTATAAATGAACGGCTATGGGTAAATAGGCAGTACCGGAATAGTTAGTACACTGTACGTAGGACCGTAGTGTGACTTGCGCTTCTGTGCAAACATCCTGCTGACGTCTGGGAGGAACTTGCAGTAGGAGAGACATATGAAGCTGTGAATATATCTGCATTCTATTTCCTTGCTCCTGAGCTTAATATAGACTTGGAACGCAATATCTTTTAGCAAGTTTTATTTTGTTAATGTCCTTTTAATTCAAACGTGAGAAAAATAATTCCAAAGAAGTAGCAACTTATTACAAGCAGTTTGTGGGCCCTAGATCTGATTCTGAAAGAAGCATCCAGTTGGTTGGTTCAAATTCAAAGAGGCGGCTTCGCCTTTTTCCTGAAGTTAAGTGTCTCCTGCTGCTTCTCTAGCGTAAGATGAATTGTCAGAATTGAACAGTCTTGCAGATAAATAAACTGTCCTTTGCAGAGTGGTTGCTTCTGTAGCTTCTCTATCAGTGTGATCTTTGTAAATGTCTGGAAACCCAGAGCAGAAAGGGCCACGGTAAGCCTGCGCTGCTGGAAGATGTGATGATTATTTTTGGGCTGAAAGTTAACTGGTTAGCAGTGAAAGGAGTAGTGTAAATGTATCAACAAGTGACTGAAAAAAAATGGCAGTGGAAAGGGTGACTGTAACACACCATTCACAACATTAGAAAATAAGCCTGTACCCTGTTTGCATTTCTTTCCTGTGGGTATGGTACCAAAGCCAATTGCGGTGCAGTTAGGGGATTTAGATGGGGCAAAGCCCCATTGATTAGGCTACCCATTACATCCTTTGTAAATATGGCTAAGTTGTTAGCATGTGGTGTTGCAATGTAAAGATAACAGACTAGCTGGGTGTGCATTGGCTTATTGAGAGCCACCACATGCTGGAAGAGTCTGAAAGCATAGCAAAAGAGTAATTGCATTTCATGTGTGAATCACCTCAGCAGCTGGAAAGCAGCCTTTGGTGCTGTCTCTTGGGCACTACATGGCAGCCTACTACATGGCAGCTCCTCTTTTCCAACATTAACAACCCTTAGCAGCCAGAGGAAGTATAATTGGTCCATTGCAGATGCAAAGCTGAGGCAGGGAAAGATTTGCTCTATGTGACACAGGTCTCTGCAGAGGCAGAAGGTGAACCCTAGAGTAAATACTGTGCCTGATCCCCAAGATGATCCTTCAACTTTCTAAAGGGGATCTGTCCATTCAGTATCTGAAGGTATGCCATAAGAAAGAAAGGGGCAGTCTCTTTAGTAAGGTCAAGGAAAATGGTTTCAAAGAAAAAGAGGAGGGATTTAGACTAATTTAAGAGACTGTTCCTAATGTCCTTAAGTTTCTTTATTCCCATTCCTCATTCTCCTTGTTTTCACTTTGCTTGCTCATTTCCAGAACAAGACAATACGTGTTTGTGAATATTTGTAGCCTCAGGTCTGCAGCTGGTGTGCCAACTTTGCTGTTGGTTCACACTTCTTAGTGCTGAAGCATGAAGAAGCCAGAGTGAGAGTTGCTCTGCATGTCAGAGAAGTACAAAGCTTTATTTTTTTGTTTCCTTTAAAGCAAACAGCCTTTTAAATTAGCAGTGGGCAAAGAGGCAAGGTAACAGTGTGCTACAGGGAAGAAGGAACAAGTGTTGCTTCACTGGTCACAGACTACAGGAACATGCCAACAGGGTAGGAGCATAGAATAGGGCTCCCCACAATTCTCTCTCGGTCGTCTTCAGTGTATGAATATCACTGCTGGTGACAAGTGCCTCTGACTGCAGATCTGAGCAGAACCAGCCCTCTCAAGCCCGAAGAATCCACAGGCTGATGCTGGGGAGATCTTTTTGCTCATGGTTTGCAAGATTGGCAATGATCAGTGTGAATCACTGTGAGAAACCAGAGACTGCTTTGTTTAATTTTGTTGGAGGAATCTTGTGTACTGTCATCTGTAAACTACCTTAGGTAGTTTTTGATGCTCAGTTGATTTTTAACCAGTTGGAGGAGACAGCGTGTTCGAAAGCTAAAGCTACAAGCCACAGAAGTAGGACTCACTTGTTTAGTTGATGAAGACTTCTACCTGTTGCTTGCTCTCCATCTTCAGTGTCTAAGCAGAGTTGGATGAAATTTTAAAAAGTCCCAGACCTTTTCAGTCTTATCAGTTCAATCTAATTGTGCATTCTTGTATCAGTTGAAGGTAAGGTTCCAAGTCTGTGTGCACTGCCTTGTCTGCTTTACAACGGCCACAGCAGCCTACAGCAGTTGC